ACATGAACAACAGACTCAGTGAGAGAGAAGTAGGGCAAACAATTCCTTTAACAATGGCATGCAAAACCTGAAATACCTAGGGATCAACCTAACAAAAGAAATCAAAGACCTCTTTTCTAAAAATTAATAGCACTCTGAAAAGGGAGATGGAAGAAGACATCAGAAAATGGAAAGACATCCCTTGCTCCTGGGTAGGAAGAATCAACATAGTGAAAATGGCCATACTTCCAAAACTTATCTATAGATTCAATGCAATCCCATTTAAAATTCCAGCAGCATAATTCACAGATCTTGAGAAAACCATCCAAATATTCATTTGGAACAAGAAGAGACCTAGAATAGCAAAAGCAATTCTCAGCAACATACATATTGGACTCCAACTAGCTGTGATCAAAAAACAATCCAAAAATTTGTTTGGAACCAGGAAGAGACCCACAATAGCAAAAGCAATTCTAGGTAACCCAGACATGGCAGAGGGTATCATAATCCCCAACTTGAAACTATACTACAAATCTGCTGTGATAAAAACAGCATGGTACTGGCAAAGAAACAAATCCAAGCACCAGGAGAACAGATTAGAAGATGCAGAAACAACTCCAGAAACACTCAGCCACATCATGTTTGACAAAGGAGCCAAACACTCTCACTGGAGGAAAGATAGCCTGTTTAATAAATGGTGCTGGAAAAATTGGATTTCAACTTGCCAAAGATTAAAGTAGACCTATATCTCTCACCATGCACCAAACTAAAATCAAAATTGATTAAAGATCTAAATATTAAACAGAAATGCTGAACTGGCTGCAACAGAGGTTAGGTAGAACTCTTGAAGACATTGGTAGGAAAAGATTTTATGAACAAAACTGAGTTGCCCATGAACTATCACAAACAATCACCAAGTGGGTTCTCTTCTTATTAAAAAACTTCTGCATAGCAAGAGAACCCACCAACAATGTGAAGAGACAACCCACAATGTGGGAAAAAATTTTCTCCTGCTGTTCCTCAGACAATGGTCCACTATCTAGAATCTATAAAGAACTTAAAAAAAATCAGACCTCCCAAATTTTAAGACCCAATCCAAAAATGAGCACCTGAAATGAACAGACATTTCTCACACAAAAAAGTAGAAATCACAAATAAACATATGAAAAAATGTTCAACATCACTGGTCACTCAAGAGTTGCAAATTAAAACAATGCCAAGATCCACCTCAGCCCAGAAAGTATGACCATTATCATGAAATCAACCAATAAATACTGGTGGGGCTGTGGGGAATGAGGAACACTGCTCCACTGCTGTTGGGAGTGTATACTGGTGCAACCACTGTAGAAATCAGTTTGGAGATACCTCAAAGAACTAGTCATGGAAGTCCCATTTGACCCAGCTATTCCCTTGCTAGTTATCTTCCCCAAAGAATTAAAAGAATCATACCACATTGATATATGTACACCCATGTTTATAGTGGCACAGTTTGTAATACCTAAAACTTGGAAACAGCCCAATTTCCTATCAGGTGAAGACTGGATAAAGAAAATGTGGGTTTTCTTTTGTAAAATGGAGTACTACTCAGCCATAAAAATGAGAAAAATTTGAGACATTTATAGCTAAATGGATGCACACTGAGGTGACACTCTTGAGTGAAATAAATAGGACACACGTGTAAATACCGAATAGTTTCTCTGGTGTGAGAAACTGAAAGTGTAAATAAGAACTAAAAGGTATAAGAGATAATGTGAAATAGGAAGAAAAGGTGCAAAGGGGAAGGGGAAGTCCAAGGGGTAGGGGAATGGAAAGAGGGGAATGGAATTAATATGAGAAAATAAAAATATGGAAACAAAGTCTTTGTAAATAGGGAAGGATGGAAGGGCTGAAAGGAGGGCAGGGAAATGGGGAAAACTTAGAATCAAGAGAGTTTATAAAGGTGCAAATTTCCAATGATGAATGTAATAATATTGTGTACCTAAAATGTACCAATAAAATTAATTTTAAAATGGTGGCTCCTTCAAATATTCCTTTAAGGAGGATCCTCTCCTCTGAGCACTTGGGATATAGGCAGGATTTATCTGTTATCTGTGGTTGTGTTTTAGTATCCTGTCCTTACCATCTCTCATCTCAGAACACAGAATTCTCCTTCAGTCCTAGTTCATTGCTTAATTTTTGTTAAGCCTTTGAAAACAGAAGGAATGAGGGCTTTTAAACAGGATGGGGATATTTCTCCTTGCCTTATTTATTTTTATGCCATCCAAAAGGAATAAAGAGGCATAAAATGGCCAGAGTGAAGCCAAATAAATTTGGATAGATAGAGCAAGGACCCAATTAAAAGCTGGAAGTGAAAGAGAAGAAAAGCATTGGTAGTTGGGTGGGACATGGAGGACAATGAAAGGAAGAAAGAATGGAGAACTTTACACTTTCTATAGTGATAGGGACTGTTTATTATTACCTAAGGATCAAAATGTCTTTGACCCAAAGAGATATTTTAAGCTAAGGTTAAGCTCTGGGTAGAAATTAGAAAATTACCTTTACAGTTTTTATTGAATCTCTCCGTGCTGTCACCTCCTGTCACCCTTTATTAATGTTGTGTATGCTCTGTTGCTAGGTGTGAGAGGGATGACATCTTTTAGTTGTTTTGATGAATCACATCACAGAAGCTAGTGAGTTTTATAGCCAACACAACAGGAATGTGTGTGTGGGGGGGTTTATTAGGGGAGTGTTTTTTTTGTTCTACTCCTGGGCTCTTTTTTGATGATCTCTGCTGTCATGAAGTGGAAAGAAAAATAACCATGATCTAATAAAGCATTAATCTGGAGAATAAGGGTGAAGTTCTTCAAGTAAAACTAGAAACTATCTTCTAGCCTTTTGTGTATTTATAACATTTTCTCATGTAGCCCTGAATTAACTCTTTCATAATTTCCCACTGCTAGTGTGGAGAAACTGGCAGAAACTGTGAAGAGTAGGCACAGTTTTCATCTGGGTACCTCCCCAGTATTGCTCTAATATTTAGAATTTAATTTGTGCTCAGGTAAATGACCTACCTCCTATATCTTCTATCTCTGCTTCCCTTTTCTCCCGTTCCTTCACTAACCATAGTTTTCATCATGTACACATTCCACACTCTCTTTAAAAATCAAATGTGATAAAGACTCAGTGGTCCTCTACCATGTCTCCTGTTAGGTGACAGTGAGAAATGTACTGTACCAATCTGTGGCTATGATAGTGGCTGGGAGTTGGTATTGGAATTTAGTAGAGAAGAGTTCAGAGCTGCTAAACATACAGTGTAAAGGATATTCTCAAAGGATAGTCTGTTTTTCACACTTTAAATATCATCAACCCTTGCTTCAAGAAATTCTAGAGCTGAGATTGAGGTGGCTATCAATAACTTCAGCTAACAGAAGACTTAAACCATGCCTTGAGTGCTGCATTCTAAAATTTTCTCCGAAGTCTAGTATAGCTTCCTGGCCCCTAATTAAATTATTTTGTGTTTTGAATGAAGTGGCTCACTTACAAATTACTTAATTCCATTCAATATGTCCTATATATGATATCACTGGGAATAGAAAAAAATATTAAGATATACTTGTCCATATCAACATTGTAAAGGGACTATTAGGTTGTTGAGAATGCCCAGAAATACAGTGAATAAAGTGGGAAATGTTATTGACACAAGGAAAGGCAAGTGTTTACTTTTGAGCAGGGTTCTTGGGGGAATTCTTCAGGGAAACCATTGAGCAATTGAAAGGATTTGAATAGGTATTGGGAGGTGCTTCTCTGAAGTCAAAGGTACACTTTATGTAAGAACTGATGGAGAGCCCTCATAGGTGCAAGGTCCTGAGTTCAATCTCCAATCTCCCCCTCCCCCCAAAGGAAAGAACTGAGGGAAAGAAATAGAAAACTGAGGAACATTGCTATTGTAAAGGATAGTGATTGAGAGGATGTGGCAGGATATAAGACTGCACAGGTAGGTTAAGGCAGAAAAATAGATGGCCTTGAATTTCTTGTTAGAGTCTTCCATTTGAAAGTGTGGGTCTGTGTGTGTGTTTAGTGATAAGGACCGTGTTTGACATGCTATCTAATGGTGTATACTTGCCTCAGTGTCCTTTGTCAGAGAGTCCATGCTGTGAGCTCCCTCAGTTATCAGCTCTTAAACCCGCCTTCCTGATTTTCTAGGTCTCTCCTTAAGATCCTTTTTCAGTTTATTAATTTAAAAGCAGAAATTTTCCTAGAGGTGAATCACATAATGATTTTTTCCAATTTCTTTTATATGAGATATTGCTGAAAAAGTATGATTAGATTCAATCCAATTGTCTCCCACAAAAGTAATATGTACAAAATATCAACCAAGGTGACTCTCTATGTGCTAAATAGACTAAAGATTGAGGATAAGGATATAACTGAGATACCTGTTCTGCTCAAAGAATGAAAAGGTGTTGCACAAGTTATCTATAAAGAGCCAAAAACAGCATCCAGTTCTTACTTAAAACAATTTGTTCTTGGAATGTTGTCAGCTAAAATTGTGGTCAACTTATGCAAATTGTATGAATTTGCGCTGCATATTTTATTTAGTGTTTAGCAAAAACTCCAATATGGCTCTGCATAACTTACACAATACACCACGAAAATGACTTCAGAAACTCCTACAGAAGTTGACAAATTGGGCATCTAATGCTTTTAAGCTAATTGCATGCTTAGCAGTTAAAGAGTTGACTTATTAAGAGTGAAGATAGGAGTTTCATGGAAATAATGCTTTGCCTACTGCCACATTGAATACAAGCAAGCCCTGTATCAGAAATATTACAGAAGCTTAAAGAAGAAAATAATGTGAGCTTTAATCACTATTCTGCTTTGTCTTAAGTGAATGTTCATGAATCATATGCAATATCATAGCAGTTTTGAAAACTATTCTTGAATTTTCAAGCTGTTATTTTCAGGAAATTTAGGAAGCAAATTGCTAAGTGATAAAGTATAATTTGATACCATTGCTTATGCCATTTTTTTCTTCTTTGCAGGCTGGAAAAAAAGAAAGAAACAATACCTTGAATATTGCTATAGACAACATGTGCAAGAAAACACGAGATCTTCGCAGACAGGTGAGAGGACAGTGAGGCATGGAGACTGAGATAAACATCCAAATAAACTTCGATTCACTGCCAAGACATTTATTTCTTGTTTCCATCCTTTCCCAAATTAATTTAGAACAAGAAAGAACATTTATATGTCTCTAATGTTTTTGTGGAAAATATAAAATAGAAGAAAGGGTATGTGTCTTAATGTCATGCATAATTTCATTTAGACCCTGCCTTTATGAGATCCTGGGCATTGATTTCATCTCTCTGAGCTTCTCTGAACGTATGAAATGGAATTCATAATACACAATAGGGCTTTGATGGTTAAGTAAAATGACTAATAGTGCCTGGTACACAGTAAGATTTTTAGGAAATGTTGGTAAATTGGTTCTTATCACAATAAAAATTGAGTTTATCTTCCAAATACTTATGTAAAAAACCTAGTAATTCAAACATTCCAATTCTCTTTTTTTTTGTTATTTTGAGGATGGTTAAAAATTGAATTTGTGCTGAAGTAAGTGCTGCTTTTTAACCTTGGATCATGCAGAACACATGGTTTTAAAGGATTTCACTAAACAATTTAGATGTCAAATTTATGTCACCAGTTAATTTTTCCAGAAATATAAAAATGTAGCTATGTCCAAAGACCTTTGCTTTCTGTCTCTTTCCAGTGTTTAATAACCAGACTTCTTTCTCACACACAACTTTAACACAGTTACCATTAACTCATAAAAGAAGGGCAAAAAGCTTTTAACCAAAAGCTTTTAATGCAATATATTATTGTAGCTCAATAGGAAGATTTGACTTAGCAATGTTTTAATTCAGAAGTAGAGTTGGAAATGGAATAAATAAGGATCCACAGACATTTAAGTCTGCTGTGTAAGAATACAATTTTAGGGTGTGAAAATTCCAATTTCTCAACTTTATGACCCTAATATGAATGGAATGTAAGAGTTGAAAGAAAGTTGAAACAGTTGAAAGTTCGTTATGCAGATGAATAATCAGGCCAATATGGTGAAATGACTTGCCTAAAGAGGATTTGAGTCTGAACCTAAACTGTAACTCAGATACTCTAACCCTCCAAGTTGTTCACCCTTTTTGCTGGATGATATCTATTCTTTTTCTTTAGGATTTTAATCCCATCTGTTCCTCCTAGAACTTGGAAGAATCATTCCTATGAATTATCAGCAATTTTGTCTCTTATTCTTATGTGTTCCATCTATATTACCTTCAACAAAGTTATGCATAAAAAGCTAATCTACATTCATACCTCCAAGGCTTCTGGAGTCATTATTTTTCTAAAAAAATCAAGAAAAGGCAGTTACATATGTGTTGAATTATTAGTCAGCAAATAAAAGCACAATACACCCAGTCAAATTTGAATTTCAGATTAGCAACAAACATGTTTTAATATAATTATGTTCCAAATATTGCATGGGGCATACTTATATTAAAAATATGAGTACTTTATCTGAAATTAAAATGTAACCAGGTGTCCTGTATTTATCTTGTAATCATACTTGTTTTTCCACTTTGCTGCCATCAGTGGGATATAGAAATAGCATTGAGGATTACAAATACTTTCCTCATTGGAGTTATTTTCAGTTTGTAGAGAACTGCTAAGATTTGGAAGTGTGAAAATTCTATATGGCACCTATGAAAGGTCAATATCTCCTTTGCTTCAGTTTTCCATTAATATCTTACAAAATGCCACAAACAACAGCAACTATGATTCCATCTTATGCTTTCAGGGTTTGGCTAGGGGTCAACAGGGCTTTTTTAGACTGTTTTCACTTGTGATTCTCCATGTAGTAGTATTATAGAGAGGTAAGTTAGACAGAAATTAACATAAAGTCAGGGAGGGACTGAACTCAAGCAAGTCAAATAAAAAAATAAATACTCAAAACTGTGGCTGGAAGAGCATCTGAAGAAGGAAAGCCCTCAAGATAAAGTCACAATGGCCAGACTTAGATACTTTCTTAAGGGATAAATGGAAACTTGAGATTATATTCTAATTGATACCACCCAGTCCATTAAGTCCAGATATGAATGAGACACCTAGTTGGGTGACCATGACAGTAAGACTCATTCCTTTCCCAAATTGTTCCTGTTTTAGGGGTCATAGATAAGCCAAGGTTAATAATGCTAGTCACATGCCCTTGCTACCTGCCCCACTTCCTTATTGAATCAATATTAGCTAAATGGCCCTACTTTTAATCCTATACATTGATTATAGTTTGACCCACTTTGTACCCAGATTGTGACTTTGCAGTACAAATTACCCCTGACAAAGGGCCTTGGTGGCATCCTCTCAGGATCTCTCCTGTCTCTCAGGAGCAATTCCTATTCTCCAATAAACATTTCCTACTCTTAACCTCCTTTGTCCTTTGGAATTCATTCTTTGATTTCAGGAAACACAAAGTTAGCATATATGACATCTAGCAGGTTGGGAGTTATATTTCTCTTATATCAGTAATAGTCAAATGGTGACCAAGGCTGGACTCAGGTTAGGTGTTGAGGCCTTGGTGCTTCTGCCTGTTCCCTCTCTATGTAGTGTATAGTCTTCTAAATTCCCTTCATGTGTCTTTTCCAGTAAGGAAGCCTAGATTTATGACATGATGGTTTAAGGTGCCAAGAAATGATAGAAGCTACCATACTTTATGTCTGACCTTACAATCTTGCTTCGATCCAAAAGCTATAGATTATCACAGTCACAAACAATACCCTACATCAGGCAGAAGCTCTGTTTCTTTTTCTTTTTTATTAATTTTATTGGTAAATTTTAGGTATACAATATAATGACATTCATCATTGTATATTTGTACCTTTACATAATCTATCTTGGTTCTTATTTTTTCCCCATTCCCCTGGCCTCCCTTCAATCCCTCCACCCCTTCCTATTTACAAAGATCTTGTTTCCATTTTTTCATATTAATTCCATTCCATTCATTATTTTCTCCTATCCCTCTCACTTCTCCTTCCCTTTGCCTCTTTTCTTCCTATTTCATACTAACTATTATACTTTTTAGCCTTATTTACACTTTCAGTTTCTCACACTAGAGAAACTATTTGGTATTTACACATGTATGTCCTATTTATTTGATTTAAGAGTATCGCCTCAATGTGCATCCATTTAGCTATAAATGTCTCTAGTTTCTCATTTTTTATGGCTGAGTAGTACTACATTTTTTTAAAAAACCCACATTTTCTTTATCCAGTCTCCAGTTGATGGAAAATTGGGCTGTTTCCAAGTTTTGGCTATTACAAACTGTGCTGCTATGAACATGAGTGCACATATATCACTGTGGTATGATTCTTTTAATTCTTTGGGGAAGATACTAAGCAAGGGAATAGCTGGGTCATATGGGACTTCCAGTCCTAGTTCTTTGAGGTATCTCCACACTGATATCCACAGTGGTTGCACCAGTCTACACTCCCATGAGGAGTGGAGCAAAGTTCCTTTTTTCCCCACAGGGGCACCTGCATTTGTTGTTGGTTGATTTCGTGATTAGCAGCCATTCTTTCTGGGGTAAGGTGGAATCCCAGTGTTGTTTCATTTGCATTTCTCAAATGACCAGTGATGTTGAAAAATTTTCATATGTTTCTTTGCTATTTCTACTTTTTTGTCGGAGAAATGTCTGTTCATTTCAGATGCCCATTTTTGGGTTGGGCCTTTAAATTTGGGAGGTCTGATTTTTTTAAGGTCTTTGTAGACAGTAGACCTTTGTCAGAGGAACAGTAGGTGAAAAATTTTTCCCACATTGTGGGTTGTCTCTTCACACTGTTGTTGGTTCCTGTTGTTATGCAGAAGCTTTTTAATAAGATGAAGTCCCACTTCTTGGTTCTCTGTGCTAATTCCTGTGGGACTGAGATTTTGTTCATAAAATTTTTTTCAAGAATGATCCTTATTCCCCTCATACTTCATATCCTTTTTAAATTTTAAAATTTCTTTTTCCTTTAGCCTCCTCTCCCATCATTTATTTGAAAACTTTAAATCTATTGAAACTTTCAATAAAGGAAGGATTTTAAACAGGGGCCACTTTATTAAGAATTAAAACAATCATTTGATCCCTGGTACCAAAAAAAAAAAAAAAAGAATTAAAGCAATCAAATATCTTCTATTTCTATTATCATATAAAGAGCAAAACATATATTTGATTTCATTAAAGGCAGGTTAAAAGTTTTACTTGTATATATTAAGAAAAATTGTCAGTACCATAGTAAGTCAAAGACAACAGAATTCTTGTAAAAACAAGATTCTTTAGTTCAGTTTCTATGTTGCTGAATTTCTATGTTCATTTCTTATTCTATGTTGGTAGTACAACACTAAGAAAAAGGCTCTTGAAACTCCTAATCATCATTATCATCATTGTCATTCAATCATTCTGTTTCCCCAAGTACCACTCCACTCAATTGGAACATTAGGTATACATTTAATTGTTAGTTGATTTAGTTCCTATTGGTCAGTTGAGCTTTGTAAGTCATATATTACTATTTCACTTAAAATTCCACTGGTGTATCCATATATTAGTTTTTCTAGTACCCTGAGATTTATTCTTTTCTGAAACACTTTTTCTGCTTTCTATTCTCTTCCACTCACAATTTTATTCTTTCTCTTCTTTTGTTTGGTAATTGTGGTGGGGCTTTCACATAGCTTTCACTTTTAGGTTTCAATTGTAGAGAAATATATTATTTTATTTGAGGTCCCAAACCACTTATATCAGTGGGAAATAGAAAAATTGATGTTTGAAAACCTTTTATTAAACTGTAGAGAGAAAAGATGAAAAGCCCCTCAATTTGGATTTGTTCTGACATCTTTCATGTCTAAATACAAACAGGTATTTATTGAACATACATACCTCTAACTCCTTCTGGCTTCCCAATAACTTATGATTTTAGCACCATGGCTTCTCTTTCTACATTGGCATATTAGATTTTTCTTTAACTTTTTTATGTTTCTAAGTGAAAGGAATGCAATATGCTATTGGTCAAGATAATAACAGAAATAAATTAAATAAAGGATACACAAGTATTTTACAGATAGATGATTGTGCAATGAAATGGAAAAGTCCTATATGAATATATTACAACATATACAGAATATTGCTTAGCCTGACACTTTTGTCCTTCTGTATCTTATCCCTATCTGCACATCTAGTTCCCTCTTATAATAATTCCTCTTTCACAGTCAGCATGACATTGGGCATAGCAGAATCATAGGGAGTGTTTTTCTTTGAAGAAGTGTCATAATATGATCAGCAAAAATTAGTTTATGTAAGATGTTGGAGTCTCTTACCTGATGAATGATCAAACCTTTACAATAAACATAGGCCCTGTTCTAGATTGGATTTCCATTGAAGTAGAAACTAGAGGACCTTAATGCAGGCAGTTTGTTTGGGAGGTGATTCCTATGAACTAGTATAAGAGAACATGAAAAATGAGATAGGGAAAAAAGAAAGGGTATGTTCTTGAGGTTGCTGCTATAGGTAACAGGAAATTGAGGATTTCTGTCTCTCCAGTTTATCTGACCAATGGATGAAGGCTAGGAATTTTATCCAGCAGTTCCTATCTCCATTGGTTAATGGTTGCCTCTAGGGGTGTGCACATTCCAGAACTTTCAAGGTGTGTTTGTGCTTTTACTGAAATTTCACAGAGACTTGGAACATTTCTCAAGGTGGAATAACACAAGAAGCATGACAGGTTTTCAAAGGACTTGGAACTGTTCTCCACAGCTGAAGTCAAACACAGGTTCAGAAGATGAGAAGTAAGGCACCAAAAATTGTCTAATGTAGTACATCATCATCATCATAACTATGAAGGTCATGGATCAGGAATCAGCAAGTCAGATAGAAAGTAGTGAGAAAATTGTGATTTGGTTGAATTAATAATGCTGTTTGTCATTTAGGTAGATTAAAGATGTTTTCCATGGGAGAAATACCCCCTGTCTGTTCTGTGATGTCTCTTAAAAGTTTCATGGATGTCAAACACATGTCATGCTCCTTTTCTGGCTCCTTTCTTCTGTCATGGAACAAAAATCACAAAAGTTTAAAATTTGAGACTCTAGTTATTCTCTGTCTCTCTAGATTTTTTATTCTGGTTATAAATCAATATGTGCTCTTTGAAAAGCTCAAAGCAGTCTGCTTTTTTACGTATGTTTACAGATAAAATCTTGTATCAATGTCTATTATATAAAAACAATCCATCTTTATTTTTTAAATGTATAACTTCATTATCATTCACTAAACACACATAAATACAAAAATTTAAATTATTCAAAGAAAAGCAATGCAAGGGAAAAAACTATAATAATATTCAAATATAACAAACCTCAACCAAAGCAAAACTGAAAAGTACTTAAACATTTTTCCATATAATTTAAAAAAAATTGCAAGCATTAACAAGATATGAAAGGATGTGATTTGTTTTAGAAAGAGTTTCAAAACTAATATTGAACAAATAGTGGTCTAGAAAAAATTTCTAATTAGTAGACTCCACAGAGGTCACATTTTTAAAATTTAAATTTCAATACAGTCATGTAACAAGTGATGGAAACATAATCTGAGAAATATGTTATTAGGCAATTTCATCCGTGTGTATCGCAAGGTACCACACAGAGTGCCAACTTCTAAGTGCAAACTGAGAAGGTATACGTCAATCATCTGTGATGGTCCCTTGATATTATCCAAATATGCAGTTAAACACGAGATACATGAGGCTACCACCGGCATAGCAGCACACTGTTTTACAGTAAGCTCTTTGATATAAGTAGGATTGTGCTTTAAAGGATGAAAAGCACAGCATGTTATGATAAGTACATAAAACAGTAAGTCATTCATCACACTATCGAGTACTGTGTACTGTGCATAGTTGTATGGGTTCTTCTGAAAACACACCCTTCTCTCCTTTGATCTAATCCATCTTTAAAGATGTGTTTCAAGGTAGCTAATATGGTCTTGCATCTCCATGCCACAATCCAATTATTAGAAAAAAGAGTTTATATTCAGTCCCCACCTTGTTTCCCATTCACTCTTAAAACAATAGCAATAGGAGCCCTGCTCCTACTTTTCTACTAAAACTGCTTCTACTAAATTCATCAATAGACTCTTAGTGCTCAAATCCAATTGACAATTCATTTTTTTAAAATTTAAATTTTCTTTAAAACTTAACCCTGAGTCTCTCTTTCTTTCTCAGTCTACTTTTTCTTTACAAAATATTTATTAATTCGTATTTCTCTAGGAGGATTATAAGGAATCATGCATTTCTATTTTGACATTACTCACAGTACTTCCTTGTTTTCATTAGAAGGATGAGGAACCAATGTTCAGAAATATTTGTTGATTTTAATGTAATCAAATACACAGAAAAGAAGATTCAGCAAGTATACAATGTGGACTTTATAAATTTGTTTGTGAGAAAAGTATATGTAGAGAATAGTGACACTTAGATTTATTTGAAGTTTGTCTTTTAGTTGCTGGTTACTTGTTTTTGTTTCTTGGCCATTATCTCAGTCTTTTTAATTCTGCTGTCCCACTTGGATGACTGTCATACATGATAGTGTTTCCTAAGCTTCATCTTCGGATATTTCCTCACAGTGGTCTCCTTTATATGGTTCTATTCAGTCTAGGCTTGAGTTACCTTCTGTATTCAGACTCTCAATAGCTTATCTCTAGTGCAGACATTCTGCTCATGCCCCAGTTACAGATTTCAGTAACAGAGAGAAGGATAGAAGAGAGAGCTGGCCATTGAAAACAGTTCCTCTTCTGAAAACTTACTAATATTTTTCGCTTATGTATCTGAAAGTAACCCATCATGTACTTCCCAGGTGCTGTCCTAACTTTCAGCCTCTTGCCTGACAAGAGTGATCTACTCCCATGGACAGCAAACTCATTATTCACTCATATAACCTCTTCCTCTTTTCTGGCAACATCTTGGCACAGTGCACTCTGCCCTAATAAGTGATTAGTAAATACTAATTCATTGCCTTTAGTGATCAGCCTTTCAGCATACTAAGCAGAATCTTTCTTTGGGGATCTGTTTGGAGCCTTTGTGAAATTGTTGGTAGCCAGAAAATTCCACAGCTCTTTTGAGTAAATGGTACCATCTTGGGCAGATCTATTTTCTGCTACGAACTTGTAATTATTATACATTTATTGCCATAATTACTATAGGAAGACAATGCTTTTTAAAGATGCAGCTTTATCATCTATCTCCTTTAAATGTATTACTAGTAATTCTCAGAAAATATAAAATTATGTTTTCTATTAGTTTAAAAATACCCTAAAATATAATTTTCACAGAAGGCAAATTCTAATCTTTTCTAATACCTATTTTTTCTCTTTGTTATTGTACAGAAATTATTAAACTAAACAAGAGAGCTGATACAAAAACCTTTGGGCCCATTTATAATAGTAGACATTGTTAATGAGACATTTCAGCCTATTGTAATCCTTAAAGGCTCAGTATCATATAAATGCAAATAATTAATTTTCCAATGCAGTTTTAAATCTCAAAAAGATGAAGAGAGAGATGAGGGAGAAGAGGGGAAAGGGAAGTACAAAGAATGAAATTGTGTTATATACATATACCAATTACCCAGGATGAATGGAATCATTATGTTTGGCAAACATGTAATAATAAAAATTAAAACTTTCAATGGAGATAATATCTGATAAGTAATTATCTAATGGTCATTTATAATCTTACATGTAATCTGATTTAAAAGAACAATTTGTAGCAGAATGTTATAGTTGTTTAATAATTTAAGGCGTGAGGGCAAGAACAATTAATGAAAACTGAGAAAATTGGACATCACAATCATTTATTATTCTTCTTGCTCTATTAATTTGTTATCATCTGGTGCAATCAGTGATCTAACTTGGTTTAATTACCATGAAGCCTACAATTTAGCTAATCAAAATTTATCATCAGTTACTCCAGTAAGGTAGAAAACATTTTATAATTTTGTAATTATGAAAATACAAGATGTGCCATGTTAATTGTACACATGGATAAACATCCTAATACTGTAATTTCTTTAAGCAAAAAATGAGCATTAGCAGTTATAATCTGATTTGTAGGCTAAGTACAATTTAAGAGAAAATCAATGACTTCTGAGAGTGAGGAAATTATTGCTGATTTTTTTCTGGATAATTTGTTTATCTAACTTTTGTAAAGGACATTTCTACTCAGTGTTGAATATTAGGACCTTTTGGATTATTTTAAAATTCATAAAATAAATTTTGTAATCACTGAGATTGTAAGACTAGAAAATAATATGAACCTTTTCCTTAAATAAAAATAAGCTTGAATTTTTTAATTTCTCTTCAGCTCCGCAAGGCTATCATTGATCATGTGTCAGACTCTTTCTTGGATACAACAGTCCCACTTTTGGTTCTCATTGAAGCAGCTAAGAATGGCCGGGAAAAGGAAATAAAAGAATATGCTGCAATATTTCATGAACATACCAGCAGGCTTGTAGAGGTAAGCATGCTAGAACTGTAACCACTTTAAATCTAGGTGAAGTAGGCTACTATTTTTCATTTACTGCTAAATTGCACTCAAATAAAAACTTTTGACAATGTGTTACAAATGTGGCAGAGTTGGGCCTGGGTTATATGAAGGTGTGTCTGCCAAATAGTATAAACCATCCCCCATAGGCTTGAAACAGAAGCCATTTATTTAGAAAGAGCTATAAAATTATCCCTCCTCTTGTTTTATTTTTAGTGTATATTTTCTTAGAGCTAAAAAAACAAACTAGCTAAATACATGTACTTAGATTTACTCTTACAAACATTTCTTTCCATTTTAAACTTAAAAGCATGAGACACTCAATCTCAGGTTATTGTGTGTGTGTTTTTAATATTTTTCGTGACAATGTGACTCCAGGTTTTCAAAACATACTTAACTATATAACATGAAGATAGAACAAGAATGTAGGCTATATAGAGGCACATATACCCATGAATAATTAAGTATAGTGGATTAGGAAAAAGGTAATAAAGAAAAATTTGGTTGCTGTTGATAAAAGCATCTTTTTCCTATTAGTTTTTCTCATAAATCTCGTGCAGTGCTCATTAAATAAAGGCACTTTGGTCAAATAATTTTTTGGAAAAAGTTATCTGGATAGGTCCTCTTCAAGAGTGTACATTCTTGTAAAATCTTAAAAAGATTTAAAAAATTTAATTTAGCCCAGTTTCCCCAATTCAGCTAACCTAAGAAAAGTCTCTCATGGCATATTACTGAGGCGCTGTCTCTAAGAACAGTTGGGAATGCTACTATTTTTTTTAAAATCAAATAATGTTTTACTATGTAGAAAAATCACAAGGAATTAGTTTAAAATGTATGAGGATTTTGCAAATTCTTTATTCCATGTGAATACTGAAAGAACAAAAGCATTGGAATTACAAGCAATGGGAATGCAAGTAAAGGTTTATTTAATCTGTACATTCCCATAATACATCATAATGAGATTATGTTAGAATAGGTGTGCTAAGTTTGGGTTTCACTTTAGTATTTCTTAGAAGCTTTTGTCTAAGTGACTTTCAGCTGTAGTGAGTTTTCACTATGTAAAAGAGTATCCTCAAACTTATTGGTTTAAAAGAACTATTTGTTATTGCCTCTCACAGATCTGTGCATTCACTGGCCAGAGCTGGGCAATTTTGGCTTAGGGTTTCTCGTGTGATCATTCTCAGTTATTGGCTTAGAATGAAGCTTGCCAAAGGTTACCTAGGCCAGACATCCAAGAGGCAAATTTATGTGCCTTAAAGTGCATGTTAACTTTCAGCTGAAAAGGTTGCATTTGTTGTCTAGAGCATCAATGTATACCTTTCCATGTGGCTTCAGCTTCTCACAGAATAGTTGTTGGATTCAAAGTGTTAAGTTGTCAGAGCAAGTAAGAAGTAGGAAATAGAAGCTGCAATTCTCTTAATTTTTCCACCCAGAAATTAGCAGAAACTCATTTTTAATATATTCTGTTGGTCACAGCAATGACAGAGTCTGGCCAGACTTGAGGGCAGGTAAGAGGTGAAATTCTATCTTTAAAGAAAGAAAGAGGAAAGTGTTTGTGCTCCCTTTTAATCCACTACACTTTTCTATTCATGATTTTATTTGCTTTATCTATAAAATGAAGTTCCAGCAAGATAATATCTAAGATTATTCCCTATCATGGGACTTCTCGTTTCTTTAGACATAGCAAATATGAATGGTTTTTAAGTTTACTGCTTATATAGCAGGATAGATAGATAGATAGATCATAGATAGACTACTCCTGTGGAATATATATATATATATATATAAATTATATATAAATATATATTGGAATATATATGGAATATATATTAATTATATATATTCCATATATATTATAATCTCTAATATATATTAGAGATTTTTTCAATAACATTAGATAATTTTCCAATAAAAGTTCTCAAATAACATGGTATTGAAGTATACTGCCTATGCACTAGGGTGTATATCTGTAGGAGAAAAAGAAGAAAAAGGACACTGATTTATCTCCCAGGCAAATCCTTTTTTGAAAGATGTCTCATGAAAGCAACAGAGAAATCTTCATTAATTTTCCATGAACACTGAGATAAGAGTGTCTGTGAAAGAGTTCTGAGAAATAGAAGAGCTAGATAGGTCCTTTTCAGAGGACATTGTATGTTCTCCTTCTATAGATTGCTTACCAGTTCCTCTCTCTCCCCCTGCTTAACAACTCTCTGCACAGACATGTTCCTACACCAGTCTTATTCTCAAACTGGGTAATTTGACATAGCAGGGAAGAAAGTCTTGGATTCTAAATGCCTTCCAGATAAAGTTATTTGTAACATGTCTGGGATTTGGTACTACAACTATGTTTGTCACCAAAATCTAAAATCAGTGAACTAGTTGAATTAAGACTTAAGAGCCGTGTGAGAGAGAGGAGTCTATTTTTAAAGGATTTCTATCAGATCTTTCAAGAAAGACTTCATGTTGGTAAGGAAACTCTTTAAGTAAGGCAGAAGAACTGGAACTGAACACACACACACACATACACACACACGAAATTAAAGTGTTGAGAAATTTTATGGGCAGCAATCAGTAAGCCAAGTAGATTTGACAATTTGAGAAAATAAATGGCAATGAGGAACAGAATGGCAGAAAAATTGAGCCTGCACATTTATATTCTCCGGTGGAGTCATGCCTGAGGTGTGATATTATTATGTAGCTTGCTGTAATGTGAAAAGATAGATTAAATAATGGTTATAAAATACTGAATAGTTGCAAAAACTAGATAACCTACATCTTTGTTGCTGACTTAGTTATGCTGAACAGAGAATTAGGCAAATATTTTCCTACTTGTAACATTCAAGTTACTCTATATTTCTATCCTTGGAACAACAGTGAGAATGATAGCAAGGAGTCAAGAAGTTAACAAGCTAAAAGTCATGTTAACAAAGTGATTAGCAATTAATGACCAATGTGGTCATTGAATATGCTTTCAAGTACTGTAATTTCATCCTGATGGTGACTTAGAACACCATTAGCTCTACTAGCTTCCACTAATAATATCTATTAAACAGGAAGGTAAAAATATGATGTTTATCTTTAAAATGAAAGTCATTCTAGAGAGTAAGTTTTTAATCTTTTATTGCTTTTTTTCTTCTCTCATAACAAAGACTGTATAGCTAGTATTCAATTAAGTCCCTCCCTCCTAAAAGAAGAAAAATATTATAACACAAACTCCATTCTTTTTTTCTCTAAAAAGTTGATTTTAGATATTCCAGTAATTGGACTTGAGCTATCCATATGGGCCCATTTATTCAGCAGAGTGTCTTCTTACTCTGCTGTATGTGGATAATTTAAAACAATTCTTTTATAGGGATATTTCCAGATGTCATTGCCATTAATTGTCCAGAGCAGGCACTATACACCCTGCTCCAGATCATACAAGGAGGAAATATGTAAAAATTTAATTAAGAACAGTAGTCCATTTCAGAGATACATTTTTAAACTTTAATTTGGTGATTTAACTATTTTTCAGAAGACTGCCTTAAATTCAGTGAATGCATTGTTTATTTTAATACCTATTATGCAATATCTCTCCAAAATTAACTTTTAAAATCCCACTGTTATTTTTGAACCATATTACAATTTGTTCTCAGGAAGTCAGTTCATGCTGAACACTGCAGTTGCTACTGACTAAAACTGTAAAATCTCAGGTTTACTTCATGGATTTTACCATATTAATTACCATTAAATATAATGGTGTTAGTGATCTAGTCTGGAAAATTTTCTGTGAATTAGAGAATTTTCTCTATTTGAAAAGCCAGCTTCATCAGTGCTTTGACTTACTTGTCAAAACTTCATCTATCTTGCTGTACCTTATTTTAGTAAGTTTCATGGGAGCCTTTCATCAAAAAGGAAAAAAGTGGGTGGACATTTAATTATAATACTTTCCTACAACCTACAAAGCTGATTGTTCCCACTCACAAAATGGTGAGCCATATTTAGCAAAGCCCCAGTGCCAAGAGAGAATGCTTCAGAGGGGACTCTTGCTGTTTGCCAGAAGTACTGATTGCTCTCAGCTTTACTAACATCTTTGCTTTTTGACAGAATGCTATTTATGTTTTACACTTTACTTGATTGTCTGTTATCAAATAAGGATATGTTCAATTATAAATAAGTAGAGCTAGAGTCCCAACCCTTTCTTCCTCTTCCTTCTTGGAAAGGGAAAAATGATAACAATTCATGTTTACATTTGTACAAAAATCAACAACTGTTCTCACGGAGCACCTTTCCAACTTTCTTCTTGTGATGGGGAAGAAATGTTACAGCTAAGTTAGGAATGCTTTTGCTTATGCAGAACAAAATACACATGTATGACCATCACTCCTTGGGTTATAAGCTTCTCAGCATTTTAATCTCCTTGCAATGTAAAGAGACATGGCTGAATATGATTTTAACCTTGGCCCAAATGCACAGTGAATTCCTTCCCATGTTTGAGATATTTCTTTATAAACTTTCTACTTAATATATATGGAATATAGGAAAAGTTCAGCGATTCAATTATGGTAAGTCAGAGACTTTCCATAATAGTATTCAAGTAGAATATTAATGTTTTGGAATTCAGAGGAGGGGAAAGAACCATATGGGATTAGAATCGTTTGGGAATTTAGCATTAAGTAAGCGATTGTTAAGGTGAAACTTGAAGACTGGGAAGGAGTTCATTTTGAAATAAGAGAACTTGAGACAGAAATAAGAGCATGAATAAAGACACAATGCTTCTTCCTGGGTTCCAGAAATACAGTAATAATGAAATCTAGTTGATTAGATTGACAGGAGTACAAGGTGATATAAAGGCAATTGATGAACAGCCTTGAATATATGGTTGCAGGGAGAAGAGGATAGATTTCATCTTAGAAAACTGGATTCAGGAATGGACTTGGGAAGCTGCACCAAGGGGAGCCCTAAGGCAGTGGGGATGAACATATGGCTGTTTA